GAGGCGGGGCTGCTGAGGTAGGGCTGGGGGTATCCGTTGCAGGGCTCGGAGGATGCCCAGGGCAGGGAGCAAACATTGCCCCTTCTGGGGTAGGAGAGGGACGGCAGGCCGGGCAGCTGCCCTCCGGAGGCTCGGAAATTGGGGAAGTAGAAGGTGTCTCCCGTGTGGATGTTCACCAAAGGTCCCACAAAGCCAGGATTAAGGAGATTATGCTCGCTCATTTCCGCGGGCCCTGACCAGCAGCTTCTAGTTTATGGGCATCTGACATTAAACATTTGCCCCTTCTGGGGTAGGAGAGGGACGGCAGGCCGGGCAGCTGCCCTCCGGAGGCTCGGAAATTGGGGAAGTAGAAGGTGTCTCCCGTGTGGATGTTCACCAAAGGTCCCACAAAGCCAGGATTAAGGAGATTATGCTCGCTCATTTCCGCGGGCCCTGACCAGCAGCTTCTAGTTTATGGGCATCTGACATTAAACATAGTTAAACCTAAAGGTCCGCCCCATTGGTCGGGGAGGGGTCACGTGGGCCCCAGCTCGCGTTGGGGACGGGAGGAGGGGGGGGGGGGAGTGCCACCCACCGCTGGCAGTGGGAGGCAAAACAAAATATTAAAGTTCTGTGCCTTGCGGATTTTTTTTTTTTATGTGTACGCTTTAGAGAAAGAATAATCATAAAGCATTTTATAAAATAAAGCCTCCGCTCTGAGCACTGGCCGAGAAAAACCCCTTATCTGTGAAAATGTACAGAGCCATCCCATAAAAATACGTAAATATGACACCCTTCTCCCAGCTGTAGGGGGGGGGGCCACCAACAGCTGGCAAAATTAAGCAATTTTCTCATTAATTAGCCCCTTTATTAACTAAAAAAAAAACCCGTCGGAATTTACAATATCTCCCAATAAATGACTATTAGATATTGTGTCATATAAAGTTTACGGGCTCTTTAAGGAGACGAATTATAGTAACCGCAACAGGGTGATATTTACAGCTGATGGTTTGAAAGAGTTTCCCCGTATTTTGCAGCGCCGTTAGATAGTTTACAGTTTGATCTGGGGGAATTAGACGTTTCCTGCGTTCGGAGCAGACGAGTTTCATCCCTGTAAGGGACAATCTTGCAGGGGGAAAAACCCTCATTCCATCCATCCCCGCTCGATTTAATTAACGATCCTGTCCGAATAAGCCAGGCAGAAGAGGAAGAAGAAAATATGGCTTTTCTTTTGCCTTCATTTCTGAAAAGAAAGCTTCT